TCCATGCAAATGGAAATCAAAAGAAAGCTGGAGTAGCAATACTCATACCAGATGAAATCGATTTTAAAATAAAGAATGTTATAAGAGACAAGGTAGGACACTACATAATGATCAAGGGATCAATCCAAGAAGAAGATATAATGATTATAAATATATATGCACCCAACACAGGAGCACCTCAATACATAAGGCAACTACTAACAGCTATAAAAGAGGAAATCGAGAGTGACACAATAATAGTGGGGGACTTCAACACCTCACTTACACCAATGGACAGATCATCCAAAATGAAAATAAATAAGGAAACAGAAGCTTTAAATGACACAACAGACCAGATAGATTTAATTGATATTTATAGGACATTCCATCCAAAAACAACAGATTACATTTTCTTCTCAAGTGAGCATGGAACATTCTCCAGGATAGATCACATCTTGGGTCACAAATCAAGCCTCAGTAAATTTAAGAAAATTGAAATCATATCAAGCATATTTTCTGAACACAATGCTATGAGATTAGAAATGAATTACAGGGAAAAAAACCGTAAAAACACAAATACACGGAGGCTAAACAATACGTTACTAAATAACCAAGAGATCACTGAAGAAATCAAAGAGGAAATCAAAAAATACCTAGAGACAAATGGCAATGAAAATACATTGATCCAAAACCTATGGGATGCAGCAAAAGCAGTTCTAAGAGGGAAGTTTATAGCTATACAAACCTACCTCAGGAAACAACAAAAATCTCAAATAAACAATCTAACTTTACACCTAAAGGAACTACAGAAAGAAGAACAAACAAAACCAAAAGTTAGCAGAAGGAAAGAAATCATACAGATCAGAGCAGAAATAAATGAAATAGAAACAAAGAAAACAATAGCAAAGATCAATAAAACTAAAAGCTGGATCTTTAAGAAGATAAACAAAATTGATAAACCATTAGCCAGACACATCAAGAAAAAGAGGGAGAAGACTCAAATCAATAAAATTAAAAATGAAAAAGGAGACGTTACAACAGACACCTCAGAGATACAAAGCATCCTAAGAGACTACTACAAGCAACTCTATGCCAACAAAATGGACAAACTGGAAGAAATGGACAAATTCTTAGAAAGGTATAACCTTCCAAGACTGAACCAGGAAGAAATAGAAAATATGAACAGACCAATCACAAGCACTGAAATTGAAACTGTGATTAAAATTCTTCCAACAAACAAAAGTCCAGGACCAGATGGCTTCACAGGTGAATTCTATCAAACATTTAGAGAAGAGCTAATACCCATCCTTCTCAAACCCTTCCAAAAAATTGCAGAGGAAGGAACACTCCCAAACTCATAACTCATTCTATGAGGCCACCATCACCCTGATACCAAAACCAGACAAAGATACTACAAAAACAGAAAATTACAGACCAATATCACTGATGAATATAGATGCAAAAATCCTCAACAAAATACTAGCAAACAGAACCCAACAACATATTAAAAGGAACATACACCAAGATTAGGTGGGATTTATCCCAGGGATGCACAGATTCTTCAATATATGCAAATCAATCAATGTGATACACCACATTAACGAATTGAAGAATAAAAACCATATGATCATCTCAATAGATGCAGAAAAAGCTTTTGACAAAATTCAACACTGATTTATGATAAAAACTCTCCAGAAAGTTGGCATAGAGGGAACCTCCCTCAACATAATAAAGGTCATATACGACAAACCCACAGCAAACATCATTTTCAATGGTGAAAAACTGAAAGCATTTCCTCTAAGATCAGGAACAAGACAAGGATATCCACTCTCACCATTATTATTCAACATAGTTTTGGAAGTCCTAGCCACAGCAATCAGAGAAGAAAAAGAAATAAAAGGAATACAAACTGGAAAAGAAGAAGTAAAACTGTCACTGTTTGCAGATGACATGCTACTGTACATAGAGAATCCTAAAGATGCCATCAGAAAACTACTAGAGCTAATCAATGAGTTTGGTAAAGTTGCAAGATACAAAATTAATGCCCAGAAATCTTTTGCATTCCTATACACTAATGATGAAAAATCTGAAAGAGAAATTAAGGAACCACTCCCATTTACCATTGCAACCAAAAGTATAAAATACCTAGGAATAAACCTACCTAGGGAGACAAAAGACCTGTATGCAGAAATGTATAAGAAAGAAATTAAAGATGATACCAACAGATGGAGAGATATACCTTGTTCTTGGATTGGAGGAATCAATATTGTAAAAATAACTATACTACCCAAAGCAATCTACAGATACAATGCAATCCCTATCAAATTAAAAATGGCATTTTTTACAGAACTAGAACAAAAAATCTTAAAATATGTATGGAGACACAAAAGAATCCGAATAGCCAAAGCAGTCTTGAGGGAAAAAAACAGAGCTGGAGGAATCAGACTCCCTGACTTCAGACTATACTACAAAGCTACAGTAATCAAGACAATATGGTACTGGCACAAAAACAGAAACATAGATCAATGGAACAAGATAGAAAGCCTAGAGATAAACCCACGGACCTATGGTCAACTAATCTATGACAAAGGAGGCAAGGATATACAATGGAGAAAAGAAAATCTCTTCAATAAGTGGTGCTGGGAAAACTAGACAGCTACATGTAAAAGAATGAAATTAGAACACTCCTTAACACCATAAACAAAAATAAACTTAAAATGGATTTGAGACCTAAATGTAAGACCAGACTCTATAAAACTCTTAGAGGAAAACATAGGAAGAATACTCTTCGACATAAATCACAGCAAGATCTTTTTTGATCCACCTGCTAGAGTAATGGAAATAAAAACAAAAATAAACAAATGGGACCTAATGAAACTTCAAAGCTTTTTCATAGCAGAGGAAACCATAAACAAGACAAAAAGGCAACCCTCAGAATGGGAGAAAATATTTGCAAACAAATCAATGGACAAACGATTAATCTCTAAAATATATAAACAGCTCATGCAGCTCAATATTAAAGAAACAAACAAGCCAATCCAAAAATGGGCAGAAGACCTAAATAGACATTTCTCCAAAGAAGACATACAGATGGCCAAGAAGCACATGAAAAGCTGCTCAACATCACTAATTATTAGAGGAATGCAAATCAAAACTACAATGAGGTATCACCTCACACCAGTTAGAACGGGCATCATCAAAAAATCTACAAACAACAAATGCTGGAGCGGGTGTGGAGAAAAGGGAACCCTCTTGCACTGTTGGTGGGAATGTAAATTGATACAGCCACTATAGAGAACAGTACGGAGGTTCCTTAAAAAACTAAAAATAGAATTACCATATGATCCAGCAATCCCACTACTAGGCATATACCCAGAGAAAACCATAATTCAAAAAGACACATGCACTCCAATGTTCATTGCAGCACTATTTACAATAGCCAGGTCATGGAAGCAACCTAAGTGCCCATCGACAGACAAACAGATAAAGAAGATGTGGTACATATATAAAATGGAATATTACTCAGCCATAAAAAGGAACGAAACTGAGTCATTTGTTGAGACATAGATGGATCTAGAGACAGAGTGAAGTAAGTCAGAAAGAGAACAACAAATATCATATATTAACGCATGTATGTGGAACCTAGAAAAATGGTACAGATGAACCGGTTTGCAGGGCAGAAGCTGAGACACAGATGTAGAGAACAAACGTATGAACACCAAGAGGGGAAAGCCGTGGGGGTCTGGGGATGGTGGGGTGCTGAATTGGGCGATTGGGATTGACATGTATACACTGATGTGTATAAAATTGATGACTAATAAGAATCTGCTGTATAAAAAAATAAAATAAACATTAAAAAAAGCCTAAATAATTCTGAAATAATCAAAATCAATTATATGGCAAATAAAGGATTATAGTCGTTCAGGGTATGGGTTTGAATACCACTGCCGCCTGGAAGCTTGGAGACCTGGCATAGGTTACTCAAACCCTCTGAGCCTCGGGAAAAGGGGAATTGTGTGGTATCACATAAGGATATGGAGATTAAGAATGGCTGTACCGCTTTATATAGATGGCACTTGCTTCCCCTGCCAAGTACTGTTCTAAGTGACTTCCATATATTAAGTCAACATTCACAGCAACCCTATGAGGTGAGAAAATTGAAGTGTTCAGAAGGTAAGTAGCTTGTCTCAGGTCACAGATCTTATTAGGGAAAAAACTGGGCTTTTACTCCAGTATGGTCTCAGAGTTAGTACTTTTCATTACTATATACAGTCTCTCAAAAAGATTCAGACAAGGGGTATAAACACAGCGTGAGAATGTCACTACCCTCAAAAATGATAGATCCTACTCGTGATCAAAACTGCAATTATAACTGGAGAAACAAGCCTTTTTCATACTGCTTCTAAAGGAGAATCTGCATAATAAAAGATAAAGTCAGGAGAAAATAAACCAGAAGTCCATTATGATGAATGCATTTCACGAGTAATAGCCCCTGAATGAGATACTTTTAGACTTTTTCCTCTTCTTTCCCTTTTTTTTCACATAGCCAACCTGTTGCTAGATTTCCATATTTCCTTCAGAATTACTCTTGGGATTGTCTGTTCTTCACTTGAGGGACTTAATGGAGGCATCGCAGCTGGATTAATAAAACAAGAATTTGTAGCAAGAGAGGTGAATGTTAGTGCCAGCAGATAAGAACCAACTGTTATAACAAAGTTTCTTTGAATTGACATATTTTAATTGCTCTTCAAATCCCAAATCACTTGACTCTGACTTGGATGTGAAGATAGGAATCAGCGTTAGCAGATTGTGGTGACTGGGTTAAGGTGGCGATCAGGTCCTGGAAGAGGAAGAAGTAAGAGGCATTTCTCTTCCCAGTCACTGCCTTGTGCATTGACTAAGTCCTGCAGTCCTGGGGCCATTCTGTACAACATGCTATGCGAAGGTGAGGATCAAATAAAAACAGAAGTTTAAAATTCTGCAAATTTCTCCCATATAAGCAAGAAACACATTATACTCACTTTTTCGTTGTAGATGTCTCCAAGCATTGTACTTGCTCTCACAAAATCTAGGCTTTGAAAATTTTTTCTTGCAATTTTCACAACTTTTTTCAAGTATTTCACTGCTTCTGCCATCTGTCCTTGGCTAGAAAAAATAAAATAAGAAACTACTGGAGTGTCATCTCATTTAATATCACAGTAAAGAGAAGATTGTTTTGTGTCTTTGCTTTAGAAAGTGTAAGACAGTTATCAGGATAATGAAATGTAAAGTGTATATTTTAAAAATATGTGGCTCATCTTTGACGGAGTATACAGTGAGTTAGAACTTAAGCCTTTAAACTCTTATGCATTGCTGGTAGGATTGTAAAATAGTGCAGCTGCTTGGAAAAACAACTTGTCAGTTCTTCAAAAAGTATAATATACAGTTACCATATGACCCAAGAATTCCACTCCTATGTATATACCCAAGAGAAATGAAAACACAAACACTTGGACATGAATGTTCATATCAATGCTATAATAATAGCTAAGAAGTGGAAACAACCCAAATGTCTATCAATTGACTGGGAAGCAAAATGTGCCGTATTCGTACAGTGGAACATTATTCAGCCACAAAAAGGAATGCAGTAGTGATACATACTACGACATGGATAAACCTTGAAAATATGTGAAGTGAAAGACGCCAGTTACACAAAAAAATCCACATATTGTATGATTCCATCTACATGAAATGTCCAGAACAGGCGAATCTATAGAAACAGGAAGTAGGTTAGTAGTTACTAGAGGCCATGGGGGTGTGCGTGGGGAATTTGGGAGTGGCTGCTAATGGGTGTGGGTTTCTTTTTGAAGTGAAGAAAATTATCTGAAATTAAATAGTGGCGATGGCTGCACAACTCTGTGAACATACTAAGAACTACTGAATTGTAGACTTTAAAAGGAGAAATGTATGGTATATGGATTATATCTCAGTAAAGCTGTTATTTTTTTTTGAAAAAATAGAACCTCTAAAAAGGTTGAAAATTTCCACATTCCTTTGCAAATGAAACCAGTTCTTTGAGGGGAGTCATATGCGATTCATATAATACCTTCTGGAGGTATTAGAACAAATATGATGAAAACAGAGGATTCTGAAATCTCCTAACCAGGATTCAAGGAAGGAAAGATAAAGCCTGAAGATGGAAGGAGCCTGGCTCCTCGCACAAGAATCTGGCAAACGGCAAGAATTTACATAAACAAGAGATAAGACTTTATTGTCATACGTCACTGAGATTTTGGCGCCTGTTAGCACAGCTCAAATAACCCAGAATGACTAAAACAAGTTTGGCTATTTTTTTTTTCTTTCATAAAGAATAGAGGGGTCAGTCAGATCATTATACTGTACATCATTATACTGTAAAATTAGTGCTGTATGTTAATAACATCTCAATAAAACTGGAAGAAAAAATAATAAAGTATCTAGAATATTGAACAAACAAATAAATAATACGTGGGGAGTATCGGCCAAAAAAAATAAGAGAGGCACACCATTTTAAAGATTTCAATGAATTATATTCAGAAACTTCTATTATTTGAATTTTGCTCTCATTTTACAAATCTGAGTCCGAAATACTCATTAGTTCCTTATGATCTGAATGCTACCCCAAAGATACACAAATCTTAGTTTCATATGAGTAAGAGCTAAACAGTAAAATAAGAAGTGGAAAGAGTCTAAAAATTTCTCTAAAGGAGCTAATTATTTGAAAGCCAGTCTAAAGAGACGGGCTCTTTTCTTCTAGGAGCCAGTTGTAGTGAGGTCCTATGTGAAGAACACTTGGGGACCTACAAGATTAAGAACCAAGGTGAAAAATCCTTGAGCAACCAAAGAGACAAACAGTAATTTTTGAAAACAGCTCCATCCAAGGTATCATAAGCTGTGACTGCCTTTTGCAGAGGTAGTTGAAGCCAAAGTCCTGCTCAAGGGACATTTGACTGCTGATTCAAGGACTGCTGATTCTGAGCCACAAAGAATTAAAACGTTATGGACAAAGCAAGAAGCGATTTCAAAATAATGGCTCCAAATTAAGCATGCTGAAGAAATTCAATATCTGTTGAATGTCTGGCTTTTTTTTTTTTTTTTTTTTTGTCAATCCCTAAAAAAGAATGGTGAATCTAAGATGATATGCAATTCCACTATTAAATCATGTCAGAACTTTTGAAATTGTTTTCTTAAAGTGACAAAATCCAGAATTTAGAGATTTTAAAATAACAAAAACCCCTGTAATTGTGTTCTTCAATGGAGCATAATAAAGGGAAAACTCTTACTCCTGAACATGTCTGAATCCCTAGAACTACCTCCCTCTCTTTGCTTTCATAGGTCAGCAGTTCCCAGTGAGCATCTGTGCCATGACCCTTAATAAATCACAAGATGAAACTCTGAAAGGAAGAGGTTGTTTTACAATTAAGCTGATTCTTGCATGGGCATTTCTTTATGTTTATAGGGCAAGGATTTACTCATAGTAGCTCCAGATAGGATGGTGTCAAATATGGCATATGGAGAAGTTTGCTACAGATTTTTAAATTATTGCAACTATAGAAAAATTTAGCAACTCTAATACATACTTCACTGATTCTAAAACACCTACTTTCCCATATTTTAACATTTCTGAAATCAGGATCCCTTAGAACAGGTGGCATCTTATAATCTCTGTCAGACAGAGAGCAGTCAAGTCATAGCTGCTGCTGGATTTGTCCGTGTTTCTGGTTATGACTTGCAATCGCAATGCCTTGATCTTTCTGTCAACAACTATTAAAGGATAATTTCAGAGAGAAATATGAGGACTGGTTGTTTTCTAAAAACCTTTCACTGAAATTCTGGAAGATAAGAAAGTACTGGCTTCAAGATTGGCAGACTGAGTGTCCATGACTTGGAAGGAAATACTGGAGGGGGTACTGGGGCACTATTTTAAGAAAGGCTACATAGCACCAACGTTCTTGATGACACAAAAGATAATATGGATGAGGAAAAAAAGATAGTGTCAATTCTGAGTTTAAAAGTGATTCAGAAAAATTGGACTTTGAATGGAAAGATGTTTGAGGAGTATAATAAATTTACTTTGTCTATATTTTCTTTTTACATGAATTCTCAAGAGTTGTAAAAAATACCTATGTGTGAGTCCAAAATAGCTCTTTTATTAAGTACAAGATCAAAATTCTAAGCAATAGGAAAATATTATGTCACAGGTTAGTTAGAATATTTTTCTTCCTTGGGTATGTAGGGTGTGTAGTCCAATAAAAAAAAGTTAGATTCGGTGAATGTGAAAAAAAGGCTACTCGTTCAGTATAATGGATTAGGTTAGTTCATTGGTTAGTAAATTTTTGATTAAAATTTGCTAGGAAGTTTAAAATTCACATTAAATTTATATGTGTATACATGATATGACTAGGACATATGAGATTGAACAACTCTAAAACTGGTCTAATTACTTTATAGTTCTAATAAATTTCTATCTGTACTGACTCAATTTAATTTTATGCAAAAATTAACTTACCTAATTTTTTGTTTGTGTTTATGTCATATGTGTATAGCCATAAAGCAATCAAATATTCAACACTGTTCTGTTTGTATGCTGGGCATCAAAATACGAACAGTTCTAACCTTACACACTTATTTGTGAAATGGCCCTCATTTTCCTGGTTGCAGTTAAAATAGGAAAAGTTAACATTCACCCAAATCTCTGAGCAACTAGAACTCACCACAGAATCATTTTTTCCAAGAATATCTATAATCAATGAGCATTACCATATGCAATAAATAGTTGGAAAAGCACTAAGAAGTAAGATAAAAGGTAATATTTGGTTTTCAGTGGTAAGAACTTGAGATTTGTCACACCAGAAATGGTCAGTATATGGAATAAATAAGTTCATGCAAAAACATTTTCATACATTTAGAATTTTCATAAAATAATCCCATGAATGGGGTGCATATGTTAGTATCACTATTGGGAAAATTAAATTTGTTTGGCTGTTTTACGAAATCAAATAAAATGAGTTGGAAAATTATGCTTATAACCAAGGAAGAATTATCTAAGATTAGAACTCATATTTAACTTGGAAAAAATGTCAAACTGCCGTGAAACACTGACTGAAATGAAATATTTTGTCTAAGTGCTATTATTCTATAACCTGTATGGAAATAAACACAGCAGCTCTGAGGAAAAACTGCATATCATTAGTCCACAGTCTTTGATCTATACTAAGCACTTAATAAAATTAGTCTTTAAATGTCAAAAAAAGAGGGGTGAATTGTATGGTTATTTAAAAGGATAAAACCTTTAAAAAGTTTCTATCCCCAGAGCTGGGTCTCTGGCAAGGACAGAGAAAGGGCATAGGCAGCCTTGTGACGAAGCGGACCGTGGAACAAATGTGCCGTGACAAAGGCAATGCGTGACACTGGGACTGATTCACGGACAGGAAGCCTGTTCCAACGGTGAGAGGCCAGGGGCAGCTTCCTGCAGGAGCTGGGGAGGAGAGCAGAGGCCATGGGGGAGGTCTCCTTGGAGATGTGCTGCTTCTGCCCTCTCCAGGGGACTGGAATGTTCCACCTGACTGTTCCACAAAGGAATGGAAGTGAAAACAGGCAGCAGGTCCCTTTTGCCTATTAAACTAACATTAAAATGTATTTAGTGGAAATACCTAGTGCTGGCAACAGTGTAATGAAATTGGCATTCTTGTATATCTCTGGAAGCATCTGGTAAACCAGCAAATGGGAATAATAATAATAATAATAAATACTAATAATGAATTGGAAAGTATCAGTTAACACACCTGAGGAGCTATTATAAATTTTTGTATCATTGGGCTCTGCGATCAGACATGAGGAAATCTGTCCTAATGGATGTTGTTTTAAATAGAAGGGGAATGATATTCACCACTGCATTAGTCTGCAAACAAGTGGAATCAAAATAGGTGTCAAAGAATGGTTATGTAAATTGATTCTAACAACGCAGTGGTTAGTGGCCTAAAATATTTTTTTCTGAAGAAATTCATCCACCTGCAAATAAAAATCTTAAGATATGTTCAGTTAAAAATCATGACTCAAATTTTACTAAATATGTTTGCAAATATCTAATAAATAATAAACACTGGGGAAAAATACTGGAAGGAATT